AAGTCGGGGATTTTGTGTCTTTATGTGTTTGGGGAAGGGGCTTTAATGCCATAAAGCATGTCACTTATCTGTTCAAAATCATCCATGGTACTATAGCAACTAACAAGTGAAATTATGATTTATTTACCAAAAAAAAAAAGAGATAATTTTATGATTTTTTTTTTCTTTCAAAATATTTTTGAAATTGGACAAACATAAGGGTAAAATTGTCGTTTCATGTTTAAATTATAAAAGTAGAAAGGTTTAAACTCTGTTTTTAAGTTTATATATACTAATGAAAAAAAATACTCCCCTAAATAGTCCCCTTGAAAAAAGCATATATCCATTCGTTAGGCTTAGTTATTGCGTGCAATCGAAAGAAATTTCTACTGAATAATCAAAGGTTCACAAAAAAAATAACTTGCTGACAGGTTTTGGTCCCTTAAAGCAGCAAGTCAAGGGTCATGAGCGACTGTGTGCCAAGACAAATGCAATATATATAGCCCCTCCCATGCGCAACGTCATGGTTACTTATTTCGAACAAGAAAATTTAGTCATTACAATAACAAAGAATTCAATTAAAGACCTTACTTTCATAGCTGCATCCTCTTGATACAGAAGGGCAAAATGGGAAAAAAAGTCAGAATCATCTGAACCTGATGCGAGGAGCAACAAGTTAAACACATTCGCTACTGAACCTAGCAAAACACTTCAACTTGAAAACCCAAACTTAACATGGCACTTTACATTCACATTTCCATGGGAGTTATTAACATGAGCTTCCTTATTTTTCTGCTTTACAATTGGTCTCGGCACTGGCAGCGCACTTGTGGCAAGGGAGGCAGAAGCTCTGCGGAAGAGTGGGTGGTGGAATGCCTCTATCAACGGTGTTGCAGAACATTGTAGCTGGCCTGGTATAACATGCAATGGTGCTGGGTGCGTCACCGAGATTAGTCCACCTGGTTTCAATGTGGAAATAAGTTTGGAAAAATGAAGTTTTCTTCCTTCCCGAACCTTGTTTGCCTTGACCTTAGCCATCAGGGACTCAATGGGATCATCCCACCACAAATCGATGATCTTGTAAGACTCGAGCACCTTAATCTGTCGAAGAACGATCTAACGGGTACATTGCCATCTTCACTTGGAAATCTCACTCAATTACGGATGCTTGATGTATCTTTCAATTATATAGATTCCATCTCCTCAAAATTCGGAAATTTGAAGAATCTTGTTTCTTTGAATATGACTCGGAACAATCTCACTGCATCCATTGCTCCAATTATAGGCCTTCTGACCAATCTTTCCTACTTGGAGTTGGCCGAAAATCCTTTCCATGGTTGTAGTATCCCTCCGGAAATATGGAACTTGAAGAGTCTTGTAGCCTTAGACAGAGTGATTGCAACCTCATTGGCCCAATCTCTCCTAATATCAATTAGTTAACCATTCTGGTTTCATTAACTCTTGTAAACAATGAAGTCAATGGATCTATACCTTCAGAAACGGGGAATCTAAAGAATTTGGTTTCTTTGAATATCTCTAAGAGTCGGCTTGTTGGTCTAATACCATCATCTCTTGGAGGATTAACCAGACTGACATATATATTTAGACCTCAGTTTCAATTCATTTAGTGGCTCCATCCCTCCAGAAATTGGGAAATTAACGAATCTCACTTATCTCGGCACAAGTGAGTGCCAACTTGTTGGTTCACTCCCTTCAAGCAGGAGCTACCATGTGTAAGCTTTCCCTTGTGAACTCCTCCACATCCTTATCAGCCATGATAAATTCAATGTTTTTCTTTGGTGATTTTAATTGATTTATGGACAAGTTCTTAATTTACATACAAATTTATTAGGATTAAGACCATTTCATTTAATTTGATTTGTTGAAACAAACAGATTCATCAAACTGTCTACATCTTCTGATTCTGACCCTACATTCCATTACCTTAACTTTACCTTCATACCCTTTTGTTTTTGGCAGAATGATACGTTTACTTTGGTGCCATTGTTGGACGGGTTGCTAATAGAATCTCAGGGGCTCAATTTACTTTGAATGGAACCATTACAAACTAGTTGCTAATGGAGGGAAAAACATGCTTCATGGTATATAATTCTTTCATTTTGCCTTTGATTTTGTAATTCCCCTGCAAAGACACAGTTTCCTAGAAGCATGCATTTTTTTAACGTACTTTTGTGACATTGTGTTGCAAACATATGAATATCGGCTGACCCCAAAGGATTTAGTGATGTTATTTGGAAAGTGAAGAAGTACAAGAACAAGGGCCATGCTTCTTCTATTGTCTTCAGCTATCACAGTCACAGCTATGAGGGCGAAGAAGGTGAGAACATTCAGTTTCAACTTCTTTATAAAAGATGAATAAACATGCCATGCAGTTTTTATATGCTAATTGTTGTGTGTTTCACAGGATTTCCTGGCGATGTTAAAGTTTCCATAGCATACACTCTTCTCGGTGAAAAACAGTTGAGTGTCAACATGAAACGCAAAGCCTTCAAAAGGCTGCACCAGTGAATCTAGCCCAACACACATACTGGAACCTGGGTGGCCACAACAGTGGGGATATCCTATCCGAAGAAGTCCAGATTTTCGCATCCAGCTATACACCTGTGGATAGCAGCCTTATCCCCACTGGCAAAATTGCAAGTGTGAAGGGAACTCCATATGATTTCCTCAACTCCCATACCATCAAAAGCACAATCAATAAACTTCCTAATGGTTATGATATTAACTATGTTCTTGATGGTACTCCTGGCAAATTGAGGAAAGCAGCAGTGGTGAAGGACAAGAAATCTGGAAGAGTGATGAAGCTATACACAAATCAGCCAGGTGTGCAGTTCTATACCGGAAACTATCTTAAGGATGTGAAGGGGAAGGATGGATTTGTCTATCAAGCTCATGCAGGTCTGTGCTCGGAAACTCAAGGGTTCCCTGACTCCGTGAATCACCCCAACTTCCCTTCACAGATTGTCAACCCCGGCAAGACATACAAGCACCATATGTTGTACAAGTTTTCAGTTGAGGCCTAAACAAAGGATACCAAGTCTTGTTCCATGACCACTGAGATGCTTGCTTGTATTTTTAAGTCTAATGGTTTCTAGTGTAACCTCATGAGACTTTGGAGCAAAAGATGTACTTCAGACCCTAATAAGATGCTGCCCTTTAAAATTTAAATTTTATTCATTCATTGTAGCAACTAGGAGCAAGTGAATTTATTGATCTATTA